TACTGAAACATTTAAATAAATGTCCCAACCTTCAAAATTATTAATATCATCTTCGATACGGAAAACTTAAACCGTAATGGACAATACTTTTCACGTTTCTTACTCTTCGGACCTGCCATTTTGACCATACACCCCGCCTATCTGTTTCGGCAGGCAGAGTCAAACCAGCGGCACTTACCGTAACAATAAGAACGTTTTTATGACTTACTCGTCAAACCGAGATGTCACTGCTGAAAATCAGTAAATTTCTAAGCGTTATATCTCGAAAACTAATAAAAATCGGGTAAGTACATAAAACCTTGATGAATTCGTCTTGAAAAGCACTATCGCCTGATCGAGAAAAAATTATAGTTCCATTTAAAAAAACGAAACTTCACCATCATATCTTTTACATTAATAACAATAAAAAAATTTTGCTTCTGCCAAAACATAGGGCCTCTTTTACCCTGCAATTTCCATATAAGCACTTTTTCGTGACATCAATAGTTCATGAGATATCACGCTGTAACACTTTGGCGCGGACACCCTGTATATTGTATAATATCGATATGGATGTTATTGTAATTAAATTATAATTAAATGCTCTCAAATTACAGCTACAAATAAATTTTTGCAAGGTTGCTAAGATAAAAGAGACTCGAAGTATTGTATATTTGAATTGAGCGGTCTAGAGGGGTCACGTGACGTCCAGCGGCCATCTTGTACACCAGGCCTCTTGACTATCCAGCATAACTATACCCCACATTTCTTGTTTCTTACTCATTTTATCATAAAAACCTAGATCATTCTGTGTATTTAACAGACTAAAATTATAACAGAACAATTTATCTAAGTACTCAACGCCCATAAATTCAAAGACGAAAAGTTATCTACGTATATTTTGAATAATACGTAGCTTGAAGGGTGGAAAAAAGAGCAGAAGGGTATTAGGCGAATGAATCTTATTTTCCCGGAGCAAACGACGCACAGGGAAGATAAGATGGGAGGTGAAATGAACAGGAGGGGCAAGGAAAGAAGAGGAAATACCGAGAGACACGAAAACAAGGAAGAAAGAAGATTGTAGTAAACGAAGAAGGACGAGCAACTCGCTCGTTGAAAATTGTTACCCACCGACAAGCGTGTAAAAGCTCTGCCGAGAGGGTTCAACGGTTAAAATGCTCGACTTTCTAGAGGACTGGTAATCACAATTTTCCAGATAAAATTTACGTCAAGCTATTTTATTTTATACGATGTCATCAACGGTAATCGTTGGATTACACTGACTTTCGTTAATTGGATGTCTCTTTGAGCTCGTATGGTGCACTTAACTCTGACATTATGCTGTGTACAAGATCCGAAAAGAAAAGTAGTTGAAAAGACTTTTCCACGATACTGTAAAAAACAAATATAATTAACAAATCGATCTTTAAAAACCTAGATATATATAAGTAGATATGTATGTACTATACATATAAACATGTATGAATTACATATTAATGTATGTGTATTATCTGTACGTGCCACATAAATATGCATGTATTACACGTATGTACTATACATATGAATACGTATGTACCACATGGTATGTATACATATATCACACGCATCTACGTATCCTGTACACGTGTATGCATAGTACATCGATATGTGGAGCCCTTCAGGAAGTTCCGATAGCAATACACGTACACAACCCCTATGTGAATTTGCAGTTCGCTGTTCGTTGGAAGGAAATCGTTATTCCCGCAAAATTTAATCCTCTTGTTGTCACGATACTGTACGAAATGGCGATTACACCGCGTGTATCTGTAATTGTTAAAGCTAGCCCTGGAAAACGGGCGTTTGCTTTGAAATTTGCTGATCATGCCGGAAGCATTTCCGACGAATCGCTGGTGCAATGCTCGCGGTGCATAGCGGTGCATCGCACCTCTGCACGTGACGCTTATTTATTCAGGATGCAGAATTATAATACACGCGGGAGTATGACCGTTTAATTCTCTACCGTGTAACTTGTAACAATCAAATACATACTTTAAATCCCCTTTCGTTGAACGATGCTTATGCTATTAACTCCTTTCGGTAATTTATTTTAAGCAGGGGCTAAAGTTTTATGTCAATTATAAATTCAATTGTAAACGTAAGAAATTTTCTGATATCACATGGAACACTACGAAATTATAACTTATATCAATTTCAATTAAATTAGTGATTATGTGGTACAATTTATCAAAATTAAAGTGACTGATCAAAGACTTTGACTGTTTATAAATAATACAATTTTTTGAAAATTTTTATATTGCAATTTACAGCCGATTTAAAGCTGATTAATTTTTGTTACAAATAGTTTTCAACACATTACTAAAAAGATCT